TAGAGTCAGAGGGCCTTGTGAGGAGGTCATGGCAGGGTAGGGGTGGGGCGGGACAAGGAATGACAGCAAATGAAGGAAGGATTTCTTGGTCCATTATAGGAAAAATTGTAAAATTCGATGGAGGTGATGGCTGAACACTTCTCAGTATGCTACAGGACACTGAACTGTATGCTTTAAGTAGGCAGATTTTTACAGTACATGAATTGTATCCCAGTAAATCTATTAACAAAATGGTAAGCTCCAGGAACAGGCCAGGTGATCCTGTCTCTGGAACCATGGGTCTGATCAAACTGCACATTTCCCACATGGGATGTTCAGCTTTTCTCGACTTCTCAGTAGCAGTCTGTTCTCAGTGATGATGAGGAGATGTAGAGAGGGAGAAAGTGTAGCCTATAATAAATAGTGGTGATCTCATCACCAGTAAGACTGTGTAAGACTGCAGCTGTGTTCTGCCACAGCCCCACACTGCTTCTCAGGGAGAGATCTTTTAATAAAGCTCGAGTTGATCCATCGCCCTTCCTGACAGAGTTCTCTCACTCTCCTGTGCCTTTAAGACTCAGCCGTTGCCAGGTGGTGGTGGCACATGCCTTTAATCCTAGCACTTGGGAGGCAGAGTCAGGTGGATCTCTGAGTTCGAGGCCAGGACAGGCAGGCACCAAAACTACAGAGAAACCCCGTCTCAAAAAACAAAAAAAACTTAAGTGTGTGTCTGAATTTCTTTTTGCCACAGTGACCACAGGTTGCTCAGATATGCGTGCCTGTCCTGTGACCGCGGTGACTGGCTAAGACCTGTGTCTGCAGCTGTGGGACAGTGACTTGCTTTTTCTGTCATATGTGGCTAGACTTCTGTTGTCTCTATTGGCCTTCCTTCTGGGCCACAACTTCTCTATTTCCTCACTGCATGGCTTTCCTCCACATCTTCAGTGTGAACTTACTGAAGACTGTGTTCAAAAGCTGGTTCCTATTAAGAAACTACTTTGTTGGAGAAAAATTGGAAAATATAGACAAGCACAAAGGAGAACAATCTTTTACTTTTTACTAAGTAGAATGTTTGGTAGTGTTTAGAACAAAGCTTGGCTCATTTCACTGGACAAAAGTAAACTGTGGTAGAATATTTTTTTCAGGTGTGTTATTTTTATTTATGTTGCATTTGTTTAACTCCGTGAAGCTTTGTTACTATGCCTGTTTAATAAAGAGCTGAACGGCCAATAGCAAGGCAGAAGAAAGGATAGGAGGGGCTGGCAGGCAGAGAGGATAAATAGAAGGAGAAATCTAGGAGGAAGGAGAGAGAGGAGAGGAAGGAGGAGCGTTTCGGGGTCAGCCACTCAGCTACACAGCAAGCCACAGAGTAAGAGTAAGATTTTTTTGTTTTGTTTTTGAGACAGGTTTTCTCTGTGTAGCTTTGCGCCTTTTCCTGGAACTCACTTGGTAGTCCAGGCTGGCCTCGAACTCACAGAGATCCGCCTGCCTCTGCCTCCCGAGTGCTGGGATTAAAGGCGTGTGCCACCACCGCCCGGCCCAAGAGTAAGATTTACAGAAGTAAGAGAACCGGAAAAGCTCAGAGGCAAAAGATAGACAGGATAACTTAAAGTTAAGCTTGTTAGAAATAAGCCAAGTTCAGACCAGGCGTTCACAATAAAGAATAAGCCTCTGCGTGTGATTTATTTGGGAACTGGGTGGTGGCCGCTTCCCCACCCCCCAAGAGCAAAACCCAACAACAACACTAAACTTGACTCATTGTCTCATGATGATAACTATTAGTCTT